TAATCCAACCCTGCTGGATGCTGCTGCCGCCATACCCGAATATTGTTTCTCTTTTCCCTAAATGTTGCCAGGCCACCTGCCTGGTCCTCTGATCCAAGGAATCCCAAACACACAATGTCCCTGTCCAGCCAGCACATTTGTTAGATTAGTTAGAGCAATTTCCCTCCATTTTCTTCTGCTTATCTGAGTCAAGGATTTGGGATGGAGTGGTGATATGGGCAGCCAGATGTCATAGAGCGAGAAGCAGGGTACACTCTGGACATGTCACCAATCTGTCACAGGGCCAACACAACTGTACATGCTCACAATATACACCTATGACCAATTTATTATCACTAATTAACCTATCTAGCTAGCTATCTAGCTATGAGTATAGCTAGTTATCAATCTAGCTGAGCAAAAATTTCAAATATAGTAGTCTGCCCAGATCACGTCAGGTTTCAAGGACAGCAAGAGTGAAGACTGACTTGTATTATTATTTACAATATTCAACGCTGGACTCTAAAATGAAACTTCAACACTGTGATAACGGAGCCATAGATCATTAAGATGGAACTGACATCCATGCAGCGTTGAAGCCATTATTTTTACAGCACTCGCCTTCATGCCTTGACTTACAGAAATGGCTCTTTCATGCAGACTTACACTGTTATATTACCTGCTGTGAAACAAGCAAGGATACACAAAAGCAGTGAAAGCTTTATTTGAGGTTAGGTGAAGCATCACTGATAATCCTCAGGCATGAAGTAATCTGAGTATGTGGATTACCGGTTTGAAAACACTTCCTCGAGTACTAAAGTAGGAAGCCATGACCAAGTGGCAGCTATGTGTTTTTTTTCCCATTTTACCGAGTTGGAGTTTCCCATCAGTTGCTCACCGTTCACTCTCAGAGGTGTTACGTGTCTCATTAAACTCGTGCTCTTACATTTTAGGTGCATGAAATCAATTCCAGATAGATTCCTGTAAATCCATTTACACCACAACCCTTGATACCTTACTGGATTTCACTCATTAAACTTGATAAGGGAAGGAAAACCTGTGCAGGGAAGTGTATAGTTCCTAAAGGGACAATATCCATGAACATCATACCACCAGTGGGTGGCCATGCTGCCTGATTACCTATTTTCCTAGTCAAACCAGAACTGATCATCACGTTTTTTATTATTATACATGTCACAGTTGTTTAGATGACCGCTTTGCTTAGCCTGTGATTAATCTGTTAGTGCAAGTAGGGGGAATGTTAACACTTCATATTCGTTCAGATTTTACCCCATTCAGTCAGCTAAATATTTATGTTTAATCTCCATTTATGTCACAAACCAGCTCAAAATACAGAAAAGGAAAAAAGACCATAC